ACATGTATACGGCCTCTGTACTATTTATTTTTTACGCCAGGCTTGGTGCATGGGCCAGTGCTGTGGTGAACGCTGGCAATGTCCAAACGGAAGACATGAGTACACCTAACAGATCAGGAGCACTTGCAAAGAGCTACGAAGAACTATATAATGACCTGTGGACAGGTGCTTTCGATGATCTTAAAGACATTCACAAAATCGAAGAGGCAGTCGCGGTGGTTATCCTCTGCAATATTTTTGCGGTGAGTTATTGTTATCGGCTTCTGTCTGTCTGATGTTATTTCAATGTGTTTCACTGCTAAGCCTCATGTGCCTTAAATGATCCATTTTTATGTTCAGAATGTCAAGTATTTGAAAAGAACACAGTAGTCTAATAATGAGTTCATTAATTTTAGTAGGAGCAACATAATTTTTTTTTATTGACACAATACATCACGAATCCATGACGATACAAAAACAAACAAACAGACACTCGCTCACACACTTACACATAAGAGATGTTACACTATAGAACACTTTTTAGTTAATTACATCGTCGTACGCTAAATATTCAAATTGAAAATAACTTAATTATATTTGAATTGTATTGACAGAGTGACTTATCTGTTTTCACCAGATATCTAAACGATGAAATCAAACCTTCTAATTTTGGTTTACCCTGTGAACATCTTCTTAGATAAATATAAAATTTAAATTGCAACATAATGAGATTAACAATTGGAGAGAGGCTCGTAGAGCCGACTAAGCAATTCCTTTTTGAGACAGGTAGAGTGACTTGAGTATTAAATAATATATATTCTACCAAGACGGTCAATAATTTTTGGGTAACCGCACAATTCCAGAATAAATGCTCTGTTGTTTCTTCAGCTCCTTTGCAAAGGGAACATATACTGTTGTCGACCATTTTATATTTGAAAAGCAGTGAATTTGTGGTAAGGATATTATGATTTATTCGAAATTGGAACCAGTGAAGCTTTTAGTAGGCTTGTTAAGGACCAAAAAATGGCCAAACGCTGCATTTTGTAGTACAAATGTTTAACTTGGCATAAATGTTCCGTGGGCCAAAAGAAAATTTTTTATCCAAAGAGACGTGCTCTATCGATTCATAAATTAGCATAAATTATGCAAAATATGTGCCAAAATATATAACATTTCATATTCCCATTAATTTTTGGCCTAGAAACATGTAAAGATTATCAAACATGACTAACTTAGGGACAAGGAACCCATTTTTGATCATTTGGAAGCAATTGGTGGCCATTTTGTGCCTCAAATCCAAGATGGCCGCCACCCGCCATTTTGAAAGTGGACATAATTTTGCTATTTTATGTTGAATTTTGAAGCGTTTGGTCTATATATACTTGATATATATATCGATTCCTACTATTTTGGGGGTGAAAAAGTCATTTTTGATATTGTTTGTTATATACCATCGCTACTGGACTATATTATGAGCAAAAAAAAACAAATTTTTACCATTATGGAGGCTATTGGTGGCCGTTTTATCCCTCAAATCCAAGATGGCCGCCAAAAACCATTTTGAACTTGAGCATAATTCGCTATTTTGAAACTATATGTATTACATCTTTGTTAATGAGTAATACGTCGTTTTATATTATTTTCTGGTGCAGAATATATTATCTGTTTCATAAAATGTGAGTACAAACTATTTTATCCTCCAAAATGAATATGCATGTAGGCTTAAGTTGTCAAATAGACTTACATGTGCCATGTAGTCTAATTAGTACAAAATGTTTTATGTAATCATAAAGAGCTTGAAAAAAGTGTAAGAGACCAAAATGGCTTAATTAAAGGTAAAGAACACATACTTGGTGCTTTGGAGACAATAGGGACTGTCCGGGATAGCCTATTTTGAACATCTGCGCAGCAGATGACGTCAAACGAGACCTGGATTGGAGCGAGATTTCACGAGAGGTGGGGTTAAAATCTGCCATTGAAACTTCTCTCGCGTCTTCTCACAAGGCTATGTTATAGGATTGCATTAAGTAAAATTTACTAATGTTGTGTCATAGGGTGCATTGCAGTTAAAGCTTAGCAAGAAAACCAGGAAAATGACCATGGATGACGGACACGTCTGGCGAGAGAAGTGAAGTAAAGAAAGAGAAGTTAATTAGATTAAAAGGACTAAGTGTCGACATATTTAAAGTACAGGTCAGGTCGTAGTAGGGCCTATTTTGTAGGAAGAAAGGGACCAACTGCAGACAACTCGCATCCGACACGTCACTGGCTTCATGGCATCACCGTATAGACCGTATCATCAACAGTCGAGGGGCATGTTAATAAGTACTGAGTAAGTTTTGTGTGTAGTTTACAGGACACCATGGTTTATTAATGTAATACAGCCCTAGTACTTGTGATTAATAGTCTTTTACAGTACCTATATCAGACAAATTTGCTTTTACCATTCCTGTTTCCATATAACGTGTACCTGATTATGAAATAGGCCTACTGGTGAACCTTCCACACCTATTAAGTATATACACAATGTTCAGTTGCATTTGTGACATTCCATGCCGGGTGGTCGGTTATAATAATTGCAAGTAAGGTAGAAATTAGAGTTGGTATTTTACAGCAACGTTTATCACATAATGATATATATTTCAGAAAACTAAGTGAATTATTATTTTTTTATTTTAGAGCATGACAGACACAGCGCATGTTATTGAACCAGGCAAGAACTGTGAGAGACGTGGTCAGGATAAACAGATGTTGAAGATTGCTCAGTGTATATTAATCTCTTATGTCCTTAGTTATTATGTTGTTGACTTATTATATCAGTAATCAACAGATGGCATATTACTTTAAAATGAAATATTTGGTTTTATGAATATATATATATATATATATATATATATATATATATATAGGCCTATGTATTGTACTGCACTAGTAATTTAATGAAGAAAATAATTTTTCTTGCTTGTATCATTCTTATGTTACTGTAGTGACTTTTTAAAATAAGTATATGACACCTGTTTTTCATATTATTTACTGAGATCACAAATATAAGTTCGCCTGTGATGTTGTGTTTATTTGTTGTATTTGTGTATAACTGTCAATAAAATGCAATGATTTATGAAAAGTTCAACCTATATGTTGTCCATTTTAATACTTTCTTTTGTCATCTTTCCTGTCATTTAAGTCAAATCTGATCACAATGAAACTTACATTTTGTGAATGCTATCCATTAGCTTCTATAGCATCATTTTCATCAGTAAATAAATGAAGAAAATTAACTTTATGATCAAGTTCCAGCCTTTAAATTTAGTGAAATTAAAACAAAGATGCTGGCAGGTCTAATGTTCTGATATGCCATCCATCAGTAAATGAAATGTCAAATGATTTTTTTTACTTCTTTATAAGTAAAGTTTAATAGTAAAAAAAATTATAAAGAAAAATAAGTTGCAGTTATAAAGCTTTTGTTGTTCAAACGGATCTCATGAAATGACCAGTCAATGAAAAACATGATGTAACTAATGTCATTTTCCTGTACCACAAGCAAACTTCTGGTGATGTAGCCTGTTTAAACGCGACCTTTGCTGCGTAGTACGTCCTCCGGGCGAATTTTGCTTTGCAAGCGTCATCGGCTCTTAGCTTGGCAAATTCAACATGTCAGTTGTACATACATATTATATCAATACTTTTCTTTATAAAGTGAAAAAAAGAATAAGCCTGTAGCTCAAAAATTTTGTAAGTTCAGCTATTTTTCAAGTAAAGAAATCGCTGCTCTACTTCCTTGTGGTCTCTATATTTTAACCCCACCTCAAGGCAGATCTCGTAAAATCACGGGGAAATGTGGTCTTCTCGTTGAGAACCCGGACAGCCTCTATTGGTGGATTACCATTCAACGTGCTCGTATTATCACCAGTTTTTCTCTATACTACTCGACGCCTGGAGGAGGCGTGTTAGTCTGTTAAACTCCCTGTACGCTGGATGGGGTCCTTTCTGCGTTCTTTGTGCCCTTAGCAATAGTTCGAAGGTTCCATAGTCCGAAAGTTTATTGGTCCGAATATTCACTATTAACCTTCGGACCAATGAACCTTTAATTTAAAAAAACGATGAAAATGTTACCATTTTTCGGACCAATGAACCTTCGGACTATCGAGACGCCCCCCTTTGTGCGACCATGAAATGGCATCGCTGTGCTCGTGAAAAGAGGTACAAGCATCGCTTTGGCTGTAAAATGAATGCTCTATGTTCGGCCAGTTGTTCGGCACGTAAAATTTTTATTTACTCTCAATCGGGGCCGTACTGCAGGACGTACAAAGGACGCAGTCCAGTGTAAAGAGGCTAAATTAAGTTTAGGCATACGCATATACTAGTCTGTTGCGATCGGAGTCCCCGTGCGCAGTAGCTAGGTCGATAAAATTCATGTTGAATGGCCCCAAAGTCTTTAACAGTCCAATTAAACGAAATGGTCCTCCTGTTTTATAACAAGAGGAGACAAATTGCGCAGTCAATACTTCAGCTATCATTGATAACTCAAAGATCTGCCAGTCAGTCGTATTTTGAAAAAAAAAAAATTAAACGTTGGCCTCAGAGTAACGAGTTCACTAGTATGGTCTGTGACAGGCATGATAGAAACTGGAAGAACATTCAGAACAACAACTTAATAGATACGCGGATCAAATATGGCCGACCTTCTTGAATGCTTGTTGCGTAATCCTCGCGGGAAATCTATTCAGTGTCTAATCGGGAATAAAGCGGCAAGCTTTTTAGAGGGTCGCCATATTTGATCCGCGGATCTGTTAGTCCGCTGTCCCGAATGCACTTTGAGATTCTGTTTCATATTTTACTGAGCCAAAAGATATGCCATTTGTCAAAATAATGTATTCTGGACACAAATCTTCTAATAAAATTATAAGTTGTACTCACACTTAAGTACACTGGGAACCTTTTTTATGCAATCATCACCGCTTACAATGCATATATTTTGCGATTGGTGTTGGCTTGACTCTGAGCATGCAATCATTTTAGATATGGATCGCTGGGCAGGACGCGTTGCCTTGGTAACAGGAGCATCGAAAGGGATAGGAGCAGCCATTGCACGTGCTCTGGTTAAGAATGGTATGGTGGTGGTTGGATGTGCCAGACACGTGGAAGATATGCAAGTATGGTTGAATTTTCCTTGGTATTTTTGATTAATTATAATGCCATTACATTGTTGGTTAAACACATTAAAGAACTTTTCATAGGTTTGGTTGATTTGTACGCAGGCATACAGACATTTGATGGGCAGAAAAACGGCGTCAACACCACAAAACATTATCGGCCAATAAATAAACCTTATGTTAATGAAGATAAACACATTTTAGAATAAACACATTCCAGATTGCAAAGGACAATCTTGCAAGCGAAAAGGGCCGTTTAATACCAATGAAATGCGACCTTTCCAAAACAGAAGAGATAGAGTCCATGTTTCAAGAAATCAAGGAACAGTTGGGCGGTGTGGACGTATGCGTTAACAACGCTGGGATCTCCTTTTTCCAAGACTGCAAATCAGGGTCTGTGACTGATACCAAGGCGTTGTATGACGTAAGTGAGCTGTTCAACCATCATTTTTTTAAAATTATGTCATCACTGTTAGTGCCAGGATTAAGCTTAAATATTTTAATGTTGTTAACACTTGCACTACGGAGACAATTTTGGCATTTTGTGTAACAGAACTTTTCAAATCTTTTGACTCCCCACAAACTTCAACAATTACTTTACACAAGTAATCCAAAGCTTTTAATATTTTTTTTCTAATTTAATCCTGGTTATTTGCGATTAATGAAATTTAACTTATCGACGATTGTAAATTGTTCTTTAACTATCACTGTTATTTCATCAGACAGGGTATAGCTGAAGCTGGTCTTTCTGACGAAGATCTTTATGTAGCTCACACTGATTGTAGAGTTTATCTTGAGTTGGGAGCGTATCTTTGTGATTTGAGGTTGGAGAATATCTTTCAGATTACATAATAGGTAGTTAGCACCAGATTTAAGGTCATCCAGTTGCTTTTAAAATGATCATTCTCCAAAGTATAAGACTGGGTTCCCATACCTAAATCGATCTAACAGGATCGATCTATCTATTAGGGGTTTCTCGCTAAATTGCTTTCAGCTTAAGCGGCTTAGATATCTGGCACGTCTACTGAAGCTGCTAAACGATAATTAAGTACCCCCTAGCAGCTTCAGTAGGCGTGACAGGCATCTAAGCCGCTTAAGTTGATTGCAATTTAGCGAGAATCCCCTCGGAGATAGATCGATTCCACATTCAGTAGTTTGGGAATGGTCCGTAAGGGACAGCCTTTGTTTAAGACGCCAGTAATTGTTCCAGGTGAATTTTTTCGCCGCCATGACCGTTTCCCAGCTGACCATCAGGTCTTTACAGGAAAGGAACATGGATGACGGACACATCATCAACATTGGCAGGTGAATTAAGATACATCTGCACAGCAGATGAGTAGAAAATAGAATTATGGTTGGGTCATGGTCACTTACTAGAATGGTATAGACAAACAATGTGTACATCTATGTTGACGTTGGTCCTAATTTTTTTTTGCCATGGTCATATTAGGCAAAACGTTACGTATCATTAATTGCTAAGCCGTATGAATTAATTTAATATTGGAAACAACACTTAAACGCATAGGAAGCGTTTCTTAATAATAATAATAATAATAATAATAATAATCAAGAGGAAATGTAGCCTGACGTAAGTGGGCCAAAATCTTGGGTGCTGCTTACACGTGCAAATCAATGGGAACCGGACTATATTATGGTGGAGTGTCTGTCACGTCACACCGGTAAAGCAAAACCCTAACCCCACCTGTGAAATATATGTATATATAGTTATCTTATTCAATTACAGTGCATGTGGTATGGTGATTCATACTGACTACCCGTGTCATACATACAGCACTGCAAAGTTTGCCCTGGGGGCCTTCACCGAGAGTCTGAGACACGAGCTGAGAAAGGAGAAGACGAAAATTAGGACGACGGTATTTGTGAGAAAGAGAGATAGAGAGAGAACAAATGTATGATGTTGATACTGTGTGTGTGTGTGTGTGTGAGAGAGAGAAAGAGAGAGAGAAAGAGAGAGAGCCTAATATTTGAATTTTGTATGCTCAGCTGAAAGTACAATTAAGTCAATAATTTATCATTGTTTGCTGGTATATTAGGGTTACAGTAATAAGCAAAGAAAATTTAGATTGCAAAAGCCAGTATGTGTGAATTAAAAATGTTTTAAGGTAATGAACTAATAAAGATGGTTTTGTATGCGTATTACCTGCATCTTGTGTGTGTGTGTGTATATATATATATATATATATATATATATATATATATTTTTAAAGATTCATTTCAAGTCAAAATTTTGCCGCAAAAACTAACTAAATGCCGCCATACAGTTTCAAATAGTGTAATTCAAGAAAAACCAAAGGATATCGTTTCAAATGATATTTGAACGGATATCTTTTACTTACTTTCTGGGCCCAGTTTCATCAACACTGGATAGGATAAAATTTTAATCCTCTGGACAGTTTTCTTGAGGATAGCAGCCTCTTTTAACCACTGGAAAGCAATATTAGAGACAAAAATAAGTATTTAGTGTTTGGTAAACATTATACTTTACCCACAGGATAATTGCCCAGAGGATAACAATTTTATTTAATGGATAGTGTTATCCAGTGGATAGCGCTATCCAGTCTTGATAAAACTGGGCCCTGGTGTTTAAATGAATGTTCTGTTTTTCAGATTATTAATCCTGGATGGGTGAATACCCCGCTTGTTAATGTGAAAAATACCGAAAATGTGTTTGAACCGGGAAAAGTAAGCTTTATTACATGTATAATACACTTACGCGCTTTTTATTTCTATTTATCTATGTATAATGTATGATCACAATCTCTGATTTGTGTCTTTCAAAGGGGTTGAAGACTCGTTTTCTAACGTATATCAACCTTGAATACGACAAGTTAATATCACATTCACATTATTAGAAGGGCATGAAGTCAAAGGTAGGCACTGGGCGCTAGGATTTTATGCAGCAGAATTTAAATTATTTTAATTTGAATTAAATTTTCAATTTATCAGCAAGGTATACCACATCCAATGTCCACGTAATTACGGTCCATAAAACCTTTTCTCTTGGTTCTGGGGTTCTAGATTGATTTTACGTCACTCCCACAGCGACTCTTGCAATGGAGAAAGAGACTCCTCAATTTCACTAGTGACAATAAAATTAAAGATTTTTAATTGTATAATGTCCGAATCACATTTCCACCCATTGGTCATCATTAGCATAATGCATTTTCTATTTCAGCATAACCTTTTTTTATTCTTTAAGTTTTTGAAGTAGACTAACGTCTTTTATGAGTTCAAATATAATTGAAAAAGACTTTGGTGTTCTTATTTTATTGTATTCTACCGTGATTCGCATAATTTTTAATTGATATTGTGAGCTTCTGTGTGGGATTTCCAATTCCTTAGCTCTTTGAGCTGCCTTTGTTTTCCTTTTTAAGCCGGAATAACACCTTTAAAATTACAGAAACGTGAATCCTTCTTTTAATTTTAGTTATATGTTTGCCCTATCCCAAACCAATCAGAAAAATACGATCTATAAAGCTGGCTTTGGGCATTCAATTCTTTAATTTTACTGTCACGAGTGAAATTGACGAGTCTCTATCTTATGACGTTATTAGTAGGCCTAACTGTATTTTTTATATATTTCAGTCTCTTCAACCGGACGACGTGGCTTCCGCTGTGACTTATGTACTTGAGGCTCCACCAAACGTCAATGTAAGGAAAAAATCAAGAACGTTTTATCTTAAGGAAAATGTTTTTGCGATTTTGTATTTTGTCTCAGCTTAAACTGTCCCATATTCACAACCGCTATTTATTAGAATCGAAGACAGACAAAATATTTTTTACGGACAGTACTGCACGTTTACTCTCTTAAACATTTGCAAATTAAAACATTTAGGGAGATCAAGTTATTGGTTTCAGTAAATAGATTCATGCAGGGGTGGGAGTGGGGGGGGTGAACACCCAAGACGGAAGTACGCTGAGAAGGTTGATAATTCTATCATTTTGTCTCTGTAACATTTTACACTTAAAATACATGTAATATGTGCACGGAGTAAATGTGCCCACAGGGGTCGACTTTGGTGTTGTCATCGAGCTCTTCATTCAAATTCTTCAATAGAACAGCAGCAGATCGCTACATTTTAAAGTGCTCTTCTTTCAGGTCCGTCATATATGCCTTCACGGCGTTCATGACGCATCGTAAGTTGGAAAATCACCCTGGGTGGGACAACTGAAAGTGTCCACCATGCTAGGCCCAGCTGTTCAAGACGTGATGGCTTCCATTCTATACTTTATTTTCACAGTACAGTAAAGTGTAAATAATTTGTACGGGAATATCTACTGAATTTATGTGCACTTAGTAGAAGGCATAATAATAATAATGTTTAATGTTTTTTATTCAGATAGGTTACTGTCGAATTAGCATGTTAGCAGAGGGTTTTAAAACTGTCACATTTACATGTCTGCCATACACGTCTACTGTGATTATCATAAACGTCTATGAAGCCCGCTTTCGTTTGTTTAATGGGTAAATTCCATTCCGCACAATCAATGAATAAAACATCTTTCAATGCACTTAGAAAACCGTATTTTTCACCCGCGCATCCTGTCGCAATCAAGACGAGCACAGCTAACACATTTGAGCCTGCATCGCTGTGTTTAAGACCATTGCCGTTTCAGTCTCAGCTCCTATGTCTGCTACACTAGGATACACGACTATGTGAAGTCAGCTTTTGCAATATTTGTATAGGAATGCGTTATGACCGAGTGGCCAATAATAAATGTAGCTAACATTCATGTAAATGGGCTATTGGCACCACTTGGAGTAAAAACCAATGTGGTGACAATTTTAATTTTTGAGTTTGCAAAAAAAGTAACTTGCCGACTTGTCTCTTGTCTCCTTCAAACGGCAAGACTTCGATTGGGTTTTTGGTAAGGTCGGTCGTGGATATAAACCGTGTGCGTGTGTGTGTGTGTGTGTGTGTGTGTGAGAGAGAGAGAGAGAGAGAGAGAGAGTGTACGCGTTCCAGCAGGTGGGCGTTGGGATTCATATGATATATCCTCCACCAGAACCGCAGATAATTATGTGCACTTTTCTCACAGTAGAGAAATATGCCATGAATTAGCCAGAGAAATGTGCCATGAATTAGCCAGAGAAATGTGCCATGAATTAGCCAGAGAAATATGCCATGAATTAGCCAGAGAAATGTGCCATGAATTAGCCAGAGACAATCTGTTAATATCTAGTGAAAAATCAATCTTTGGCCTTGGTAAGTATGATACGGTCTGAATCATATGTTTGATAAATAAGTTAATGAATAAATAAACAAACAAAATTTAATTAATTAATTTATTGAACAAGAAGAAGATAATGTTTGGAAATATGAACAGTTCCCTCGGATTCGTCACATCATACGACATCTTTGACCGTTCACAGAATTACGATCAATAATTTCATTTTTTGGCATTGTGAGTTTTTTTTAGCAGTCTAGCACAAGCTGCTGGGATTTTTTAGAATGAAATTGGTCTAGGCCTCTAAAGATCGCATATTTCTCAACAAAGATACATTTTATCATTATTATATAATTGCGTAAAAATGCACATTGCGTGCCTTTAACCGGTGATTTAACCTTTAGTCATCTGGTCTCAAGCTGCATGGCATGTATGGGTTTATTGCTATATTTATACCTGTATTTACTAGTCCTTCTCAACACCCACCACTTCTCTCTAACCACAGGGTGTCCGAGTAGTCTGTTACAAAACCCCTGTTATCAGCGGCCAACCCACCAAAATGACTCACACTTCAGAAAGAAGGAGAGCTAGAACACAGATACATGTATCCTCTTCATTTTACTATTTGACACGAGTGATAATTAAGTTGTGTGTGTTTTGTCATGGAAGCAATGACAGATCTCTACGCCTACTGTTACCTGTTGCACGCGGTCTTGAAAGTGTAGTAGTTTGTTTATTGTTTTGACGATAGAAGTTATCAATCATCGTTTTCATCACGCATATCAATGTTTTGATTCATTCATTCATGCTATTGAGAGGGAGAGAGGGGTGTTTTGAGTATCAGACTCCTCCTCCAATATTGGAATAATTGGCATGGCACTTCAGACTGCCCGACAGCTGCGCAAGATGGAGCTTTGAAAAATAAAAAAAATGTGGATCTTAGGTTCTCAAGCCAAGAGAAACAAGAGGGCCCCACTGGAGCGTAGATCGCGAGAAATAAAACCATCAATTCAGGAATCACAGTAAATAAAACTTTATTCATATATCGTTCAAAATCAACGAGTAGAATGACTTCGTTTCACGAGTACCGAAGAATAAGAAACTGCATTCGCGAGTCACGGGTTATCGGTCGTTATACACGGGTCACGCTAAATAATGTGGACGTTTTACGCATCTCGGGGAAATAAAAAATGAATTTCACGGGTAACGAAAATACCCAATGGGCAGAGAGAGCAAAAGAGATGGTGCAATAAGTGTGTACGGTGTATACACGGTGTTATGTTACTTAGACTCATATAAGTCTAGTGTTATAGAGACGACGAAGAACTGGAGTTTCAAACTGCTAACTTTCGTCCCTCTTTTTTTTTTTTTTTTTTTTTTTTTTTTACACAAATATGAGTTCACAGTGAAGACCCTACACTATTGATATCCGTGTTCTTTGTAAAGTTCACGCACTTACGCACTACATTCCCAATACCTTTGATGTTATTTTTAAAAAAATCCATTCTATTTCGTCAACCAAGTTATAATAAGCCTATCCTTATTAGGCAGTTTATTTAATTCACATCTTCTGGATCTGAATATCAAAAAGATACTATTTTATTACGTCATACTTGTTAAATTTACGAAGTCCAGCTTCCAAGGAAAATTACTTTTTTGGTTTTAAAATACCAAAACCTCATTTGGCGTTGGCTAATACAACATTATTTAATAGCTTTATCAAACTGAATTCACTTCTATCCTGTTAATTGGCTATAAATGAAATCTGAAACGGTGGTCATTTAACTTTAAAACACTAGTCGTACCTGACTGAGAGAGAGAGAGATAGAGAGAGGTGAGAGAAACATGTAAATATGTAGGCCTGTAAGAAGACACCATTCTTCGATCATCTATATACAGTAGACCAGTCATCGCTACGTTATACATATGTCTGTAGCCTCATCGTGTAGGCCGCCTTCGTAACCACAGCTATACACAGCACGACGGAAAAACAATACTCAACGCGTGTAGATTCCACTACAACACCACCGCTTCTTACCTGCTTCGACCTTAAAATACCTGCTGACTAATTTTTCTTGAAGTATATTTTTTCGTCAAAAGTTTGGTGACAGATGTTAAGGAAGGCCAGAGAAAGCTGTGTCTTTCCATATTCCAACTACCAAGAACGTGGTTGATTTGTTAGACCCCATCCCAATAAACACCATCGGTCTTCCCAGATCGATCCAAGTCTGTTTGGGATTCTCGCTTTAATGCAATCAGTGGAATCAGCATAATCAGCACACGATAGTTAATTATTCCCTAGCTGCTCGAAGAGGTGTTCCCACTGATTGCACTTACCGAGAATCACCCACAGAGTTGGACCAACCCAACTAGTACGCTGTGAGAAACTAAATGGGGACATAGATATAGTGTTCAGACCAGGGCTCCGTATCTCGAAATAGAATCGGTTATGGAATCGAGACACTAACGCTCGTGCGCAACATAGCGAACCTTTCGAGATACGGAGCCCAGAACTATCGTTTGTGAGCACGCAAATATCCGTCGGAAAACTACCACTGGACGCATAGCCTTGGCTTTGAATATGCAGAGTCGCCGTTAGCACTCTAAAACTACTACTGGTACAGATTATCAGTTATGATTTGGTAAAATACTCCCCTATTGCCCTCTTCCCCATTTTTTGCATTTTTATACACGTATTAACACTCCCGCAATCAATGATCTTGAATTGCATATGGGGGGGGGGGGGGGGGCGGGGGGGGGATCGGCTTTACAGGCTTATAGCCCGCAGTTTCGAAGTGGGGTCTTTTTCTTTAAAAAGGGACATCAGAAAAAGAATAGTGCCCAGGTCAACATTTCCGATCAAAGGAACCGTTCTTACGTGCTCGAGAAAGAGAGTTGCGTGTATGTGTGGGCTCCGAAGACTCCGTTCTTGGATCATTTATGGAGGACTAGTCATCCCTGCTCATGTCTGGGCTTAATATTAACCTCTCACGTACACTTTAGCTTTTAAAAGCCTTTTACCAATCTATCGGACATACAATTATGGTTTTCAATATTTCGGAGTGGGTAGTAATAGCATTACGTTCAAAAGGAAATTCTGAAACAACGGGCTTAAAATTGTAAAATAGGATAATTTAAGAACAAAAAAAAAAACGTTTTTCAATCATTTTTGGCAAATATTTTGGCACCAATAAAACTGTCATTTAAGCGAAGGGAGGGGCAACAGACTGCCAGGCGTTTAAGTTTTGCCGTACCCATGAGTACAAAAGCAAACTCGGTACAGACGCTCCATTCTTTAACAGAAATAAATACATCATTTATTCGATTCACAACCATGAATTTCAGCACAATTTCATTCACCGGAATTCGCTTTTCCTTTATCCGGGCAATCCACAATATTTTCCCAACAGTAACATTTTTCGCATCTTTTATTCTTACCACCACCCTTATTCCCAAGGATTAAAAAAAAATCTATAACCGTTGTACCCCCCCCAGCCCTTCACATAATATGAAGTGTTACTGAAGGAAAATAATGTGACATGGCCTCAATTTCATTTGCAACATTATATAATTTACTGTTATTTATAATAACATTATCAGCATTTAAAATGAGTGGCAGATAAATTAATTTGACTGCAATATTATTAGACCTACCCTGTGTTGCGCTAACCGCCCCCTATTGCTTTGCAACATCACTAACTTATTGTAAATCTCTTAATCACTTCTTCACAAACTCTTCTGATATATCTACATATAACTGTATATAAAGATGTGAGGAAAAACTTGTGCTGTCTTTACCATGTAGAATATGTGTATAGCTCCCCAAATATTCAGATTTGTATAATGAGCAATATAGCATGGAAAATACTGGCTGTTGTTATTGCAGGAGTGATATAACATAAATGCAAGTATTGGTTCAACAACAACATAAAAAAAACAACAACAATTGATACGCATGAAATAAACTTACAGAGGCAAGCTAGCTGAAGGATCATATAAAGTAAAACTGACTTGGCCATATGGTAAAAATATACTGAATATAGGAATTTCTCACGAAGAAAAGTTTAAAGAAAATAAAGGTTTCAAAACTACAAGCAAAAATACTTTCACAAGAACATTTGAGAATTTTTCCACTGAGAAGGCCCCAGAAATACAGCCTTGTTCCACCATGGCCTTTTATAATAATAATAATAATAATGATAATAATAAATGAATAAATAATAATAATTCTGTAACATTAAATAAATATTAAAAAAAAAAAAAAAAACAACTGTCACAATAAAATGAATAAATAAATAAATAAACAAACAATTCTGTAGCAGTAGCTTCCACATACTAGTAACTCGGACACTTTGGACTAGAATATTTGTTCTAGATATTAAAAAAGTCCTGTTAGGTAATGATAACAAGGAAAATATCCATTCTACAAGATTTTTGTTCGAGATAAACCATGATTTTAGATATAAGATGGCGAGTCATACAGATTCTAATGTATATGAAACTGAATCGAAGCACTGCAACATACATCTAAATCTTGGCAGGGGGTGCAACTTACATGTCACCATTTTGAGCATGTGGAAAAAACACAAGCTTTTTTTAGTAATAACCAATGGAAGTCAGGTCTGCCATTCAATTCAGCTGTCAGAGTTCCTACCGCTAGATTTATTGCATATTATTTTCACTGGCAGTCCCACAGATATACATCCTTCAACATATAACTTACACAGTTATGCCAGTCATCAAGTACTGCTTTGTTATTTCCGTAAGCCGTAATTTTTGAGGTTCCTGGACACACACCCCCATCCAAATGACTGTCGCCTAAAAACACAATGATCTAGAAATGACCACTGTTTTGATGCAAGAATAATATACCATTAAGGGGACCCAAAAATTCAAAATCTAGAGAAAACCGTGAGCAAGAGTTAATATGTGTATAGTTTACTCTGGTAGGCATTAAGTCAGTCTTAGAGAATCCATAAAATTTGTTAATCTTCTGGTGAGCAGCTATGTTGGTCGGGGAAGGTGAGCTTATTGCATGTGTCCATAGCATCAGAAATGAGCATCCGTTGGTTAAGTAATCAGTACTTCACTGGGTATTGCATTATGTCAAATGAGTATGTCTGGCTTATCAAGGTGATCAAAAAGGTGATAGGTGGGGAGGGGGGAGAGAGGGTACTGTCCCCCCCCCCTTCCAATAAAAAAGGGCCATCAGAAACATATTGCAGTGCCAAGTGCATTTTTAAGTCCTCTGCAAGCCAGCTCCATTACCTTCTCTTGTTTTGAAATAGGGCAAGGTCTTGATCCAGCAAATGTTTATGGAAAATGAAGTTGGGGGAAAAATGAAGGGGGGCTGGAACTGTGTTAGCATTCACTGTTCTTTACAATCCCAGGGATACCAGTGCCGTGACAGTGAAACCAATCAGCGCCCCAAAGCCTCCTATGAACCAGAATAAGTTACGATCCTTCTTGGGCTGGTAACTTTTTATCAGGCTGGTCTGAAATAGTAAAGAAAAAATCAATAAACTCTTTTGAATATGTATTTCAAAATAACAAATTATGTTATATAGTTCTATCAGATGGGTTCAAGTGATCGGACACTTATCACAACTGAAAGTAGTTCCACTGTATGCAAATATAATATAATATAATATAATATAATATAATATAATATAATATAATATAATATAATATAATAAACTCATGTTAGTAATAACCACTGACACTGTATTGTGGCTAGAAGTTCTAAAATATTTCTAATGCATTTTCTTGAATTGTGAGAACATTTTAGTATTGAATGCAACTGATTAGATATGTGGAACTGCTATTTCACAGTATTTCTGAAATAAATAAATATAAATAAACAACCAACAAAAAATAAATATTCAATTTCACTCCAGGAGGAGCCATTCCAACACCTGCGTAAGTGGTTAATGTCCGACTCTCCAACAGTGCGGGGACTATAAAACAGTATTTTTAGCTGGGCCTCCTACTGTTAAACAACACATTCACTGCTTCTCCTACATATAACCTGTGACTAAGTGTTCATATAAAGTTACTGAATGTAGCTAAAATGAAGGTCAGAATGATTTATATTAATATTTTTGCCATACATTTGTGGGAGGTGAGGATGAAATAATATGATATGTCTTGTGGGTAACAAAATATTGATAAATACTGCAAAAACATCACACTGGAAAACTGACAGAGGTGGTATAGTACCAAAAGATATCTACCAAAAGTTTATAATTGCTGAGGAAATGCGGTTAGAAATGTGAAGCAGATGAAAACTGTAAACTATTACTGTAACCATGTACTCTTGTGGTCAAACAAGACTTTACATAACACTACAGGCAGCTTAGCTAAATAACTTTATTTTTGTATATTGTTGTATTGTAGGCATGGTATTATTTAAATTAATCTTATACATATAAATTTGTGCCAAGACCCTAGATGCAGTTTTGGTGGGTTGGATGTAAATTCCTTAATCAGGTAATAATTTGGACACTTCTTCTAAAAGCATTATCTCTTTGAGATGGAAACTGCCCACTAGAAAAAAAGCTACGGTTGTTTGTACCTTCATCATAATCAGTAGTGACAAATGTGCGCTACTGATAATAACATCTTGATAGCCAGGCTTACTGCAGCCACACAAGCTTGGTGAAGTAAAAAGGAAGTGCTTCGGTTTTAGATGTTTTTCTTATCTTTCAAATAAAATAAGTCCACCACAAGGTGGTTTTGTGGCTACTATCAAGTTGCAATCTTTAGCACAGAGCAAGATTTATGGACTGCTTGAAGATTTTGACCACATTTACGCAGTTTTGAAAGTAAAGGCATGTTTGACGAAAAAAAAAAAGAAAAAAATATATATATCTACTTTCAACTAAGACAGTAGCAGTCAAATTTTAAACAATGTTGTAAATTATTTTTACAAAAAGTCAGAAATGACTCACTACTTATTCTAGTGGACAACTTTTGATCCACAACTCGTTTGTAAAGACTCAATATTTTTCAGTCTTCAAGTAAAAAACAGATTACAACTGTAAGCACTTGTATGTGGAAATGGGAAATAAGGCACAGATACTAATACAGCAGGCAAACTAGACAGAGAATACTGAAATAGCATACACATAGCTTTATTAGTAAGTACTTGTTATGGCAAAGTTCTCAGCTGTTTTTTCAGTAAACATTTTCACTCATAACAGGATATTTGTGGGTGTCTGCAGGACATGGGTTAATATCAATCTGGCAAGACTGCAAAAATTTAAAAATAAAGCTAGTAGATATATACAGCTGCATTTTGAAATAAGTTGTTAAACAGTGCTAGTGCTTGCCTCATATTTTCTGCAGTATAAAATGAATGCTTCAATATAAAAATCTATTCCCATTTAAATAAACAAAAACAAAAAAAAATAAAATAATAAAAAAAAAATAAATAAAAAGGATATCATTCTGCTATCAACATTCTTACATGCATAAGTGCCATTAAAATACCAAACTGATGAACTCAACCATCACAGGTTATTACCTAATTTAATCTATATATACCTGGGGTAGCACTAACACTCGCCAATTTAGCCAAATGCTAAAAATTAATTAAATTGGCTAAACAAAAAGGGCTTCATTTGACTCATTTTAGTCAAATTAACACCATTTGGATAACAAATTGACAAAAAAGTGATGATTTGGCTAAGCAAAAAAATTTGCTAGCGCTACCCCAGCATACATTACACATTTGACACAAGTGTGGAAAAAGTCATTTTATAAGTAAACAACCCACACTGTAGAGATGATTCACACATCAGGTTAGAGTACACGTCTTCAGGACGACTGACAAAACATAATCATTTTATGGGCTCCAGTTAAGAAAGCAATGCCATAATTTGAGACAGAATCAGAGTTAGGGTATTATTATAGGCCTGCATGGTTTTAAATATCATGCAAGTTCAAATTTCAAAATGCCAATCCATAAGAGGGAAAAATATGCTTGTTGCAAGCACGTAAAATGATGACACATTATCATTTAAACTGGTTATATATACTGTTTGTGTGATGGAATTTAAATTGGCTGGCATTAGTCATACAGCTCAAAAGAAAAGATCACTTCTCTTACACTTATTGCGTAGGTGAGGAAGCGATATTAATATGCATAAAGCCATTGAATGTATATATGTCTTGTAATGGTTACTGCAACACCTACCTACTATAATATGTAATATGTGGCTGTCTGGAGCTTACTCCCAGTGATTTTCTACTATCTCAAATATATTAAAACAATAATTCTTACAATTAATTCAACTAAAAAAAATTGCTTCACAGCTGTTTTATCTTTATGGAAAAATTACTGTGTGCTTGAGGAGTTAAATTATTTAAAACATTATGGTGAAATTTTGAAATAAGGTTTGGTGGGAATGATTTAACATAACAGCTAGGCCCATATGGGGGGGGTTCAAGATCCTCCCTTTTTGCCAGGAAAAGTTTCTGTCTGGGTAAAATTTTATCTAGGTACATGGAAGGTTTTCAGGTGAAAGGTCCACCTCTTCAGAAAAAGATACCTCCCCTCCCTTTTAAAATTGCTGACTAGGAGCCTGCACAAGTACTCACATACTATACCGGTACATCTTTAGAAAGAGTGAAATTTATTGCCTATGTCACCACATATCTGTCCTGCACAGTGGTTTATTACCTAGCTGTGTCTGTACACATGACAGTGTGTATGTCTATGAGTACATGAAAAACGTGCTTACAAGTTATATATGTTTGTGTGTGTGTGTGTGTGTGTGTGTGTCTGTTTGGGTATGTCTCTGTGAATGAGTCTATGCTGTGTGCATCGATCGTGTGCATGCATGCATGCAGTTATGAGTACATGTATGTACGTGACTGCATGTATGTGACAATTAAGTTGTCAATATCCTTATACTAACAACCATCAAGAAATTGTATTAAATGCAATCAACAAATCATAATTTATGCAATCATAAAAACAATCTTTTACCTGATTAATTAAATCATAAATTGAAAAAAAAAAAAACTTACCCAACCCCCTTTCTCAACAAGCCAGTAAACCACATTCCTTTCTATAAAAAACACAAAGTTTTCGATAAGAGGCGCAACAAACTCCGCGTGGCCTTGTTTGACACAGTCTTCAGCGAAAACGCCCGCCAAGGCAAATAGAGACACCACCTTCCCCCAAGTTAAGCCGTTTTTTATCAGCTGTTCAGCGACGTCCGTATACAAGGACTTCACAGTCGCCTCATTGCTAAATGTAGTGTTTAGCTGGCGCGAAATCTCACTGTACAAGTTCGGATACATTTTCTCCAACTCTTGTCCGATTCTCTGGATTTCAATGGAGGTGTCGGAGAACTTTTCAGGAGCTTGGCCCAACTTTTTCGAAGCGACTCCATCTCGCTTAAGCCGGTTGTGGATGTAGTCCCTGCAGAGCGTTCTTCCCTGTTCGGCGATCTCTTTCTCCGTTTCCATCTTGCGCTCTGAAAACCCTGTTTTCCCGTCGACCTCCAACGCGAGTTATGGAACCATCCGAGATGATTAATACACTTTGAAGCTGAAATAAATAGGCGGCCGACTTCTCCCACGAACAAACACCTGTTCCGCCTGTTTCTAGGTCAAGGTCAGCGACGCAATCGAAATAAACAAGNCAGAAATATTTATTTATTGTACTACTAGAATATATATTCTTGTGAAAGATGATTGGGACATACATGTACCATTTACTAGTGCTTACACTGGTATTATGGTATATATTCAAACCTTAGCTCAGTAGCAGTGAAATGTATTTGAAAATTAGGTAAACCTTTCTTTACTGTAAACCACACTCTCTCTAGCTCAGGCCTCCTCCTCTCTTCCTCATCAAGAACACTGATGAGACTTTTCCAGTGTTTCTCGGAATTCTGACTTTTCAGGATCATTTGGGTCATTCTTGATAATCCTGTAAATCCGGTGAATTGTGTAAATCCTACTTTTTCAGTGAGGACTTGTCTCATGCCTTCAAAAAATTACTGTTCATTCCCTTCCAGAAATAACTTATTTCAGAGCAACAGCACAGTATGAAGCTCAGACTAGCACGTCATTTATTCATACCTCAAGTCAAGTATGGCTGCACACACCCTCCTTACCTCCTGGTCAGGTTTGGAGTAATATCTCCAAGAGTGTCATCGGTGGCATCAACCCACACGAGGCAGTTCAGTACGTCATGGGTCAGGTTGTCAGAAGAGGTCCGCGTAAGGTTTGCTCCCAGTCCCACTGGGATGATGCACCTGGGAGGACTGAGGACCGCGCTGTATAACTACTTGTTTGCCAGATCCCAGGGGGGAAAGTTTATACTGAGGATTGAGGACACTGACCAGGTATACTTGCTTTATTTATTTATTTATTTATTTATTTATTTATAATTAATTAATTAATTAATTAATCGATTGATTAATATTTAAATTAATTAATTAATTAATTTTTAGTTGTCTATAATTAATTCATTAGATTATTTTTTATTTATAAACAATTATTTATCTTTTTTAATCATTTTATTTATTTGCTTGGAAATGATATTGTCACAGAAATTAGATCTTGCTGACATTTTCTAAAACTTATGTATATTTTCAAGCACTCTCAAAGATTATGATGAAATTAGCTTATTACTAGTCAGTTTGAGTTAAAAATGAATTTTTTTAAGACAAAAGGCAGCAGTAACTGATATTTGCAAAAGAAACTCAGTTTGTTTTTTATGTTGACATGTTTCATTTAGGTTTCTTCTCAGAAAATTGTTACATTTTACTACAGTTATCTTAGGTATGTCTTGTATTGCTCTTGAAGTAGAATTCCTGCCAATTATTGAAGTAAGTATAAGATTTAGAATACCAGTGTGGATTTTTTATCATGATTATTTGATAATATGTACCGTGATTTAAGGCGCTTTAAATGTTTCTGTTCAGACACGGCTGGTTCCAGGGGCCTATGAGAACATCATTGAAGTTTTGGACTGGGCAGGATTAACTCCTGATGAAGGTAAGTAATTTTTTTTAAAGAAGAATTTTTCATCAGTTTATTAATTGAACATTTTGCAGTAAGCAGTTGTATAAATAATATGATGCTTTTTAAAATAAATGTTGGAAGCATAATTGGTTTCTTTAAAAAAAAGCTACTCCTGTTAATTATCACTGAATATATTCAGTAGCCTTTTTTCTCTTCATTGTCTGTTTTCTCACATATGGCTTGTGTTTTATTGTATTATACTTTGAGTCTTCTGTATATTTTAATAAATTTTACAATCTAATTTTCTAATTTGATATCTGATTTTTTTTATTGATATATGAGGCGCAGGAAATAAACACAATGGTTACTATACAAACTATTAAACATTCTGTTATTTCTTTAGGCCCACATGTTGGAGGAGAATATGGGCCCTACGTCCAGGTAGCACTTACTTTTCATGATTACTATTGATAATAATAAAAATAATAATAATAATAAAATTAATGTAAGCTATATTTAAAGGATTTAAAAAACTGAGTAGAATTAAAAGCTCAAATGATCCATCATCTAAAAGTTTCTTTTCGTTGAATATATGTACAATGGAGATTTAAAACTGTTGATTATTTTCCTTCATTGAAAAGATAGGGTGATTACCTTACAACTTTTCAATCGTTTTAAGCTAAATAAAATGATCATAAGAACTTTTGTGTCTGTTTATTTTGGATCATGATATAGATATATAGCTTTAATTTTTTTTATGATTTACTTTTTAGACTCAACGTCTTCCAATCTATCAAGAAAAGATACAGGAATTATTAAAGGTATGTGACTTCGGTTATGAAAAGAGCAAATTGAGAACCTCAGACATAAAATTCCGTCTCCAAACCCAATCTGAATGCAATTACGTACTGAAAGTATGTGTAGTCTGAGGTCAAAGGTTGACTTAAGTTTTTCTTTTTAAGTTGGATTTCATTTAGTATTGTTATACCTTATGCCAAAGATAAAGACAATGTTTTCCAATACATAAAGTACGTTATTACAAATATTTTTTTTCCTGAGACCACTATATATTAGATACCTGCGGATGTGTGCTTTTTAGATCTTGTTTTATGTATAAACTTTTCAAGCTTAATCCTCCTTATTTTATTTGCATAACATAAGCCTGTTTCGTGCTATCATTATGCTAAACATATTATTATTATTATTATTATTATTATCATAATTATTATTATTTCAGACAGGTGCAGCTTATAAGTGTTTCTGCTCAGAAAAGCGGATTCATCTGTTGAAAAAAGAGGCAGCTAAGATGAGGGAGGTGTTTAAATATGACAACAAGTGTCGCTCACTCACCCCAGAAGAGGTTGACAAAAACATGGCCAATGGTCTGCCCTACACGGTCAGGTTGAAGGTAAAGTATGGTGTGAGATGGGTCTGTATCTAGTGACTGTGTAAAAAACCTGGACTATTTATAACTACTGGCACACAGATATGAACAGCACTCACTCAGTGCTCTTTTACAAATTTAGAATTGTTGGATTCTTAACAGCTAGTTTTAATTAATTAATGTTATTGTTTCTATGATTAGTTAAAATAAGTCATTAAATTTAAATCCAAATATTATAAAATTATATTCAAGAATGAACAGTGGTGAATAGAGAATTTTTATTTTAATCAAAAGAGGATATTATTTTTCAAATGCATCCAGAAAATTGATTTTTGCAAGTATTTTATTCTAAATGATAATGTTATGTTTTGATCTTTTAATACTAATTGAAATCAAGGAGAATATTTCATTGATTTGTTTTGTGAGGCTAGCTATTGGTCAATATTTCAGTTGGAGGATGTCAAAAAACCCTGGGATGACATGGTGTTTGGACCCCTTTCTTCTGACATAGCTAACCATGAGGGGGATCCAGTGAGTCTCTCTCTCTCTCTCTCTCACACACGCACACACACACACACACACATATTACTGTATCAGCTAACCAAGCTTTGGGTTCTGTTCACAACTGTGTTAATCCTTGGACTAACTGATCTGCAGATATAATATAGCCAACCCACTTGAAAGCTTTCCATGTATCCCCAATTGATTATGTGGCAAGCCTTCAACTGAGTCAGCCAAATTTGAGATGCCGATCAGTTGGTCTGCAAATCAACTTGATTGTGAACAGAATCTTGCTCACACCTCACAGCTTGGTACTCTTTATATTAAAAAATAATTAACAATAATTTACAAAATTCTGCCTTGTTATTTATGGGTCCTTCTCTTTGGATGGATGAATTTACATCTATTGAAAACATTTTTTTTTTTACTTTTCAGGTGCTCATGAAGAGCAGTAATCAACCAACTTATCACTTTGCAAATGTTGTTGATGATCACCTGATGAAAATAACACACGTCCTACGAGGAGTCGTAAGTAATGTGTCTGGGGCCTATTTTATTTAATATGCTCACTCATTTTCACATAACATAGAAAAATATTGAATTTTTTACCTTTAATTACTATTACAGTCTAATGAGTGTTCAGTAATTTTAAAAATTTATTTACAAAATCTTAACACTGCCAAATAATGTATTTAATTATTTATTTATGATTACAATTTTTTTTGACATTGAATGTGGGGCCAGTATATGTTAAGATTACAGACTTCTATTCATCGAAATCTAAGAAGCACTACAGTGACACTGCCTTGCTGTTATTTTCATCCAGGAGTGGCAAGGATCCACCCCCAAGCACCTGCTGTTGTACAGAGCATTTGGTTGGGAGCCTCCTAGATATGCACATCTTCCCTTAATTGTCAACAGGTACAAACACAGACACGTGTCCAGGGGGGTTCGAAAGAAGCACCCTTTTTTGCCAGGAAAAAGTCCATTCAGCATTGATGAGACTCTTCCTACTTTTGTCGGAATTCTGACTTTTTCAGGGTCATTTGGGTTGTTCTTGTGAATCGTGTACCCTGGACTCCCGGCCAGTTTTCCTACTTTTTCAGTGAGGACTGGTCTCATCCCTGAATCTGGGTAAAATTTGATCTAGGTACAAGTAGGTTTCATTTAAAAGGTGTACTTTTTCAGAAAAAGAACCCCAATTTTCAAATTGCTGGCTATGGGCCATAAGCATGACTATATAGGCACAGAGCTAAGTCTGAATTGGTTGAGATCTTAAAGGGAGAAAATATGTTTAATGTACATTTTTATGTACAGAAATGGTGTTTCTTAACTTACCTGTTCAGACATCACCTGAATCTGGTGTTTTCATTGTTGTTGCTTTGTACTTTTCACTGTAAACACAATAAATGGATAAGTTATTATTTTTTTGCTGATTTTGCCAGTGCCATATTTTGGATTTATTATTATTATTATTACTATTATTATTATTATTATTATTATTATTATTATTATTATTATTTAGGTAAAAGTCAAAAGTTGTAATTTTGGATGATAATCATGACCATCGTGTGTCTTAAGTATATACATTTCTAGTGAAGTCTACAGTGGACTGATTTTGTACACATTTGGAAGGAAATGGGTAATTTTTAATTTTGCTGATTTTGCTCAGAGTATTGGAGGTTTTTTCAGACTTAAAGTAAAAACTTTAAGTTGTAATTTCAGAATTTTAATGTGTTTTTCTTGATAATT